TCAAAATGTTCATCTGCAGTTTCTTTTAGCGTTATTTCCTATGAGCTAATATATTCTCCTGAGCTAACATATCTTTAAGCCTACCACTTGGTCCCTAACCCTTTGAAAAATGCCATGGACTGTACCATTGCTTCATCATCTTGATGCAGAAGTGTTTCGATCATCAAACAAGTTAAAACACTGTTGTATGCGAGAGTGACGAAGAGCAAACAACTGAACTTGAGACAATTGCTCATACCAGTAGAAATATTACTTTTCAATGTAAAACCTCAAAACCAATTATCTCAATCCTAAGAATGGCAATTACATTCTAATTGTTATAAAGACACGTTACAAAAAATATTCCAAATTGGTAGAAAATACTTCAGAATAGTAGCATACCTCAAGAACTTCTGAATGACTGCAGTGGTCAGACATCTTGTATGCTTCATATTTTCTGAGCACTCAGTTTCAAATCATAGGATTTGATTTACACCAGAATTTATTGTTCAATGTGGCAAATAAAGCCGAGTGAATCTATGTTTAAACGTGTTGTTTAAACATGTGTTTAAACATATGTTTTTAAACATGTGTAATGCTTTAAGAAGCATGCAGTGATGGCATTTTCATGGGGTTTTCTTGATTGTCTTAATGACCAACCATAATGAAGAAGCTACTACGACAATACATTACCAAAAAGGAAAAAATCAAATATTGAATAACTCATCAATGGCTAACCTATTCCTTCAGCTTCACTGAATAAAACAGAGATCCTCCTGAAAATAGAGTACAGGCTCATATAATTGAAAATGGTTTCCTTGTCCTTGTGTTCCAAATGAAATCTTATCAAAATATTTCTTTAATTCTTTTAATTCTTAAGAAATGTTTAGAATTATGTGTGTGGTTATTATTGTTTTGCATACTATACCTATGTTAGCTTAAATCGTAGCACATTCTAAAGAGCATTTATGGATTTCACCATTAAGTCCTCAGTCTTCATTTAATAGGGAAAGGCTTTCAGACTTGGCAGCAGAAGTTCCCAAATCCTTCCTATTGGCAATACTGTCAGAGATAGGATATGAAGTCTAACTTTGGGCATCCCTTGCCCCTGAGCAAATGTGCACACACAGGGGAATTGAGATAAGGCAACTCCTCCTTCCAGCAAATCCAAAACCTAAAACCAATACAAGAGCTGAAGCAATCTGATCTCAAGGACAGTGAGGAAGAAACCAGAATACCTCAAGGGTTCTTGCTGAGCAAACACCGGCAGACTGCCATGAGAAATGCCAGCAAAGCAAACCCTTTTCACAAATCCCTTTTGGCTTTTAAAATTCCATCTTCAACTTAAATTCTATACTCTCATGATAGATTTTTCTCTGAACATTATATACAAAAAAAAATGGAAATTGGAAAATTCAAGCAAATATCTACACAAAGGTTTGTATGTTTTCCTAGTCATACAATTATTTTCCTAGTCACACAGGCAAATAGAAACAGGAAAGGAGAAGTTACGAGTCTTTGAATATGGTTGCTTCAAGATCGCACACACCTTTGAGACTTTGTCTCAAAGGCAAGAGCAAACTTCTAATACAAGAAAAAGCTAATCTGATGCAAGGGATGCTTTCTCCCTTACAGGCAGTCATACTTAAATAGCCAGATGGCATCTATGGCAAAAAACATCTTTCATCACTCTTGCTTAGAAATTGTCCCAGATAAGGAGGCTGAACTATAATTTTTCATTAAACAGGAGAGCCAGGAGAAATTAAGCAAAATCCTCCAGACACTGTAAAATATTCTGATCAGAGAAAACCATCTTTTTTTTTTTTTTTTTTTTTTTAACTTCTGCAAGACAGATATGAATTAAGCTGCAGACTGGTACAGTATTAGCCAATGGTGGTCATATTCCCTTCACATAAGAGGCTTTCTATTTCATTTCATGGTCTATTTCTAAGTCCACTGTGACATTTTTATCACGCTTTCAAAGAACTCCAACCTATTTGTTTTTCTTTAATCACATTCAGTCTCCTTGCTCAGAAATGCAGCAAGCAAAACACAACTTGATTTCATTACCCTAATGCTTGCTGAAGTTAAATTTCTTAGGCTTTCCTCCATTTAACCTATGTTATTTTTCTTAACAGTGCTTCCAAATGTAAAATCTGAGTATATCTGTGGAATATAAAGCTCCTACAGAAGAAATAGCTTTTGGACTGAACCTTTTAGGAGAAGTTCTTGCACCGTGCAGGCTGAAAGCATCCAATGTGCAAGGAGCATGGGAAGCAGCTAGGGCAGGACGTGTACATTGTGCTTTGTGCATTTAAGAGACAGCATGTCATCCTCATGACATACTTATTTCCTTTACCATCAAGTTATCTGCAAAAGCTCTCGCTTGTAATCGAACATCATCCTGTTGCATATCAAATAATAACTTTATGGCTGAGCTCATACAGGTTTAAAAAGAGACTTTAAGCCGGTACTTTAACCAACCAATTAAATCTTATTTCTAAGCAAGGCTCCTGTATTTTTCTGAGGTCAGATGTGGCAATGATACTTTTCAGAGCAGCATACACTGGACTCACATTGTGAATTCCTGGGAATGTCCCAACAAAACCTCCATCACTCTAAGAAAGAAAAAAAACACCAAGAGGGTTCATTTTGTCCTTTCTCAGAGTAATCCTACATCACTACTGGAACAGACAGTTGAACCAAATTCCAAATGTACCTAGATGCAAGGATTACCTTTATTTAGAAATCTACTAAAATCTCTGAGGAAAATTTATGAGTAGAAGGGTACCTTGTAATGTACCTTGACAGAAAGGTACATTAGCTAGAGTTGCACACAGATCTCTTTCTGACACAAGATGTCCCTTTAGCGAGCACCATCACCAGTTCACAGGTAAAGACCTCGGACCAGAAGAAATAATGAGTATCTGACTCCTGTGTCAACAGTGTTTCAGTCCAAACTCCATTTTTAAACGCCCATTTTAAAACCCATTCTAGTAAGAGAAGTATTTAAATTCTGACCAGATTAAATTGTTATAGGCTCCCATACCATGGGAGTATATCCCATTTGTTAAAGTACTTGTAATCAGAAGGTGATACCTTTCTAAATTCCAAAGGCTGCAGTTAGCAGGGCTCTGCATGCACTAGCAAGGCTTACAATAATAATGATAATTTCATAATAATAATAACAATATAATAACAATAATAATAATAATTTCCTTCTATTCCCTCTATCTTTTCACAGTACTGCCATTCAGTGATTGGCTTTGCAGTCTTTGGCTGCATTCAGTTCTGAGGACTTCACTTCCAGAGGCTGGAAAATAAAGTGGAAATGTCTCCTAACGTTTTAATGAGGTCAAAAGAAAGGTCCAGTTGTTTTCCCTGACAGTGGCCTTAGATACACTCCTGATTCCAGCCTGTCAGGCTATAACACTTTCTCTTGCCATATGACTAGAAGACTGCATACGCTGTGAAAATAATCTTGCTTAATTTTCAGATGGCCTCGCAATATTTATTATTAGCAACACATTCAGCTGCCACAGAAAAAAATGTGTACTCAACAGCATGTGGCCAGTCAGGAAAGAGTATCGTTTCCATAAAAAAGCAGGCAGAAAGAGGGGTCTCCATGTGAATGTGCACTGCCTTCTCAGACTAAATGTAACTCTTTTCATTGTACTGAGACTATTTAATAGATAAATGTTTTGTAAAGGTTAAATATTTCAACTAAGTGTAATACAAGGCCTATTTCCTCTCGCTCTTTAGCATGACTGTCATCCAGATCTTTGGCAGCCTGGTAGAAAATGTACCCTTTCCAACTGTGAATGAAAAATATTACAAAGCAGAATCCGGAATGCACCAAAATGCAAAGACGTGCCAGTCAGCATCCTGGTGACCTACTTTTGTATAGCAATTCCATTTTCGAAGATATGTCACTATATTTTGGGGGATAGCTGCACAACGAGGTGTCAGCAAACATGCTGCTTATCATTAAAGATGTTGCTTGACGACTGCAAATACTTGTCTGTATGACTGACATTCTTAGCCATCGAGCTCCCACAGTGATGCACAGTATCAGATTCCAAAAGGAACAAATATGTTTCTACAACAACTATACACAGAACTGAGCAAACTGCCTATCTACTTATGACAGGAGTAAAGTTACCATTTCATGCATTCTAAAATTGTAAAAACTGGAAACACTTTTTCAGGTGTTTTATTTGACTCATTTCTATGTTTGGTTTTTTTATCAGTTTCTCTAACATTCTTGAATTTTAATTTGGAAGAAGCTAAGGTCCTCTGGTGAATGTGTCTGAAATATAATAGACAGCTGATGGTTTGTTTAGATTTTTTTTTGGCATAGGTATGTTTCAGCAATATTCTCAGCATACTTCCTACTATAATGTTCTATGTTTTAGCTCGTACATAGTCTAATTCTTGACAGCCATTGGTCTCTAAAGGCACATGTTAAACAAGCCCAATACTGTTAACCTTCTGTATGAATGAGGCATGTCCAGAAGGCAGCAATATTCGGCTCTTGAACTGTCTGTTCATATAGACAAAAATATCACAGAAGTAAAACTGTAATTCCCACAGTTTACTTAGAAAAACTTGGTAAAGGGTTTCATGAGATGACTCAGAACTTACTTGACAAAAGAGAGGACAAAATTAGGTGAACTAGATAAGAATAATATGATTTCCCGAGCATTATGAAACAATAACCAAAACAGAAAGTGCTAGTCAACTTATCCCAAGTTATATTTTTGTGGCTTTTTTGAGAGAATGAGAATTTAAAAAGTAAAATGATCTGAAAACTGAAAGCATTACATTTACTAATAATGATTCAATATAATGCTATTGGTGATGTTTAGCTTATTAGCAAGCCAACTAACAAAAACAAAAAGCAAGCTTGAATAAATTGAATAAAGTGTGTTACTAAATATGCATTGTTACACTTAAGTCTGAAGCTAACTGTTTAGAAAAATAATGTTTAAAAAGCACAATGAAAAATGAACAATACTTACAACCATACCATTTAGGGACACCCAGCAATCTGGTGGGAAATCCTGGAGTAATGGTACTAAAAACTGAAGACAACCATCCCAGTGGCAAAGCAGCAACATCATTCCAATGAGATTAAAGATTCTCACTACAGCACTGGCCAGGTCATATGTCATGTGGAATATCTGTAGACAAAAATGATAGATGACTTACATGATGAAACATTTAGAAAACAGAAGCACAAATCATTTACTTCTCATCCAGGTAGATTAAAAAAAAGAAGTACTGTGCTGAAGTTCTAAAACAGCACAGATATCTCAGTAAGGTTCATAAATTTGGGCACACTAAGTCGTGCACAGAGCCACTTTGATAAAACTGACTATTTGATGCAAGTCATCGTACTTGAGGTGCCTGAAAAATGCTTGTTTTGCATCAGAATACACCAAATAAAAGTACTTTAATCTTAGAGTCTACTACTTCTTTCAAAGGAAGCAACTTTCACAACTTGCCGCATCCACAAGTACAGACACAGTCCTGACAATAGAACACAATGGGAATGTTGTCTGTGAAAATAGGATTTCCACCAGAATCTCCCTGAAAAGTCAAGATTAGACAGAATTTATACATATTTTAAACAGAGATCACAACTTCAGGAAGAATTTCCTGTTGCTCCAGAAAACCAAATTATTACATTTACACAAGGTAGATGGATAAAAATCAAATCCATTTCAGTTTCATACTTCCTCAAGCTTCACACTGGGCTTTAGTGTATGAGATTAGATTTCCAGAATAATTCACTGAATTGGATACTGAGGTTTTGAGTTTTGGAGTTTTTTGATGGATAACAAATACGACAATCAGAGTAATGCTGAGCACTAACATCTTCATTCCAATAGCTGCTTAGAAACAGAATTTTTCTGAAAATAAGCATGTATGTGTTTCTTTGCTAAGCATGTGAAAGTCTGTTTCTGTGAAATGTCTCAAAGTCTGCAAAACAGCATTTTCATAGACATAGAATTCCTGAATCCCTATCCTGTTTCTGTAACTACAGGTTTGATTTATATGTAAGTTTATATTGTGCATGTATACTGTGATCACAGCTGCACAAAAATGATTATTCTGTGATGGAATGATGGAATGGAGCCCATTTGTGGCATAGATTCAAACTAAGTAGAAGATTTGAATTGAAAAACTCTTATTTTCAAATAGGATTTCCTATGTTTCTAGAGCCTTCCATGCTGGCATATTTTTATAACAAATCTTAAAAGCTCCACACAATTTAACTGGGTAATATGCACTGAAAAAAATGTTGAAAGTTTAATTTGCTAATGTATTTATTTAAGCATTTCAGAGATCTAGCCTGCTCTTAAGTATATGTCACATCCTGCCTACCCTATGGAACTGTGTGATGAGTCAAGAAGGCTTCCCAATCCCAAATGAGCTATTACATCTAGTATACAGAAAGAGCTATTACACAGACTAAAATTCAACCAAATAGCTGGAGCACTGTGCTTAGATTAAAGGACCTCGCCGAATCAAAGAGGTCTGCTGTTGATTTTGGGCTTAGCATGACTGAATAATTGTGTTTGTTTACTTCCAAGTGAGTAGCATCTACATTTGCATCAGTAAGAATTATTAAAAATGCATAAACACATTCCAGGTTATTATCTATCCTCTTAACATGGTAATATTATATCAGGACTCCAGCAATAGCACCCACTAATTTTCACTGTAGTGGTTTATTCCTCATGTTTCATTTGTGTAGTCTAATATATGTATACTTTATTATAATAACTGATAAATGTGCATTAAAGAAAATTACTTCACAAGGCAAATCTTAAGTAAATATAGAAAAATCTTTTTAAACGGCTCTGCGTATTCAAATATTTTTTCAGTAAATAAAAATGTGTTTTTTTTCTCCTAACAGGAACTTACCATGGATATATGTGCTTGATTTAAAAAAACATTTAAATAACCAAAACATACACTATAAGTGAACAAAAATATTTGTAATCAAAATAATAGAAATATTTGTTCACAGTATTGTATTGACATCTTTAGGTTTGGAAGGAGAGAGGTTTTTTAAAACTAACATCCAAACATTCCCACAGACAGAAGTCATATGGTTTTGATGTCCAGTATTTTGTTTTTGCATTTCTGAAATGTCTATGATAACATTCAAACAAGGGGGAGAGAAGAAGTCATGTTTTATAGCATTTTCATTTTGAAATTATAAATTAAAGTGCCTACATTAATGGAATAATCCTTACAATAACTCCCAGGAGTTGTGTTAAACATGGTTTTTTTAGATAATTGGAGCAACAAAATTCAAGAGCTTGATACCACTCATTTCAACAAGTGGTGACTTGTTAGTAGGCAACCAGTAGGTCAGGAAGAAATTTGAGCAGATCACAAATTGATAAGATGTCTTGATTCCACAGTGCTAGTGTCCTGTATGTTTAAGACAAATCACTTTGAAGAGGCACCTTAGCAAGATAATACAATAATAATAATAATAATAAAATCAAACAGTTGCATATGCTTAAAGTTAACTACTTAAACTCATTACTCAGGTGCCTGAACACACTTAGATAGCCTGGGTTTCATTAAATGCTCATCCACAAACTCTACGTAAGTCAGTAGAAGTTGCAGATAATATGGCAGATTTGAAATTGTGGCCATTTTATTTAGATTTCTTACTCCATACATAAATATTCAATTTATCCACAAAGATATCCAACTAGAGTTACATGATATCATTGCAGCTGAGAAAAAAATAAAGCTCCCTTGAGAATTAACTCTTTCCACATTATTATTTCAAATAACAGAAAATATTTAATAGCCATTTCTTCATTTTATTTATTACTCAATTTCATGTCAGCTAGACTTGATAGTTTTCATTTGTATCATGTGTTTGTTTTTTCTTCATTAGAATAATGTTCCCATTTATGGTTTCCATACACTTCAAAATATTGTTTAATAATAAATTCTGATTTATGAATTTACTTCTGAAAAGTCACATAATGTCTTCCACTCTTATTTTTATACTCTTTTCTCAATATCTTGGAAATTTCAAAAATTGGCTTAAAAAAACTTATAATGCCTCTGATAATGTCTGAAACCACAGATTTGCAGTTTTGAATGTTTTGACAAAATATTGCTCACATGTTTTATATCAGTTTTTGCTCGCATTTTATTAATGACACTTTTTACTCCTCTATGTGAAGCAGGAAGCAGACTATTCCTTCCTCACATTTATATTGCAGTGTAAACTCTAAACTGGTTCTACTATTACAGCCTGAGACAGAAAAACTATTCCAGTCTTGCCAGCCCACTTGCTTAATAACACTTGAGGGCTGTCATAGTAAATTAATAGTGCATATATAGTTTAACTAAAATGAACACAAAATCTGTTGAACTGCTGTCATGAAATACACTAGGTTGCCTCTTTTGCCTTCTGATATTTAGATTTAATATTTGTTCATCTGTAATTTTTTAGTTAAGCTTGATTTTTAATTAATCCTTGATTTTTAAATAATTTAAATTCAGGAGCAGGGGCTTAAGGTTTAGGACCAGAAGCCATTTTATTGAGCATCAGACCAAACTTATATATTCTCCGAGTATGTGAGCATACACTGTCCACACGCTCCCTCCCCCTGCCTCCAGCCAATTCCTTGACTATTGCTATCTGGGTCCAATCCTGCTAACGAACAACAGGTAAACAACCAGAGATTGGTGCATCCAGCCTGTGTTTTAGGTTTCTCTATCTGCTAATCTGTTATTCCTAACTTTCACAGTTTCTCACTCCTAACTTTCACCGTTCCCACAGCTTCCCACAGTTTCTCATGGTTTCTCAGTTTCCCACAGGCTGAGATAAACTATATATGCAATATTAATTTACTAACTAAAATGAACACAAAATCTGTTGAATTGCTGTCATGAAATACACTAGGTTGCCTCTTCTGCCTTCTGATATTTAGATTTAATATTTGTTCATTTGTAATTTTTAGTTAAGCTTGATTTCTACGCTCGTTTAATATAAAATGCTTTTAAAAATCTTTCATTTTTAAATGATTTTACTTCAAGAAAGAAAATAAAAGAAAACCTGGGTTTATTCAGATACCTCTTCTTTGCAACCTCTAAGAGGTACTAGGGGTGCTTAGAATCATAAAGCTAACTCAGGCTTAATCCTCAATTTATGATTTGCATCATGCCTCAGGCAATATGAAACGACACTCAAACTAAAAGGAAGCTATATGGAGCCTGAAATATTAAATACTCACTGTAGAAAGACAGAAATAGTTGCGTTTGTACCATGATTCTTGAGATCATACTGAAAGTAGTATGAAGTAAAGCAATAGAACTTCAGGGTAGATCATAGGCAAAAAAATAGCAGTAATTAATAAAAACTGCAATGCATTTTTGCTTAATTTTCTGTGTCAGTTTAAAATCATTGGGGTTATCCCTTATTGCACCAGCTAGAAAGGGTTTATAAATTGTAGGATCCAAAGTTTCCTACCTGAGCTAAATTTTCACTGCTAAGATAGTGGTGGTAATAAAGGCCCCAAGAAATAAAAAAATACAGAAGGTGGAAAACTGAAAGCCTCTTTTTTGAGCATCCTTTTCTCAACCTGCCTAACCAATGAAAGACATGCATGATTGTTTAGCCATATTCTACAAATTGATTTTAGAAGACATTTCTATAAATATCATTTGGGACACTATAGGTATGACCTAATTTCTACTAAAGCAAATTTCTTTGGGAGTTGTGGATTAGTACACTCTACCCTGAAAGGATATCTGCAAAAGTAGATGCAAGTGTCTATCGATTGAAATGTCTAGCTATGCCTACAGGGTAACATTTTACACGCTACTGACTCATGATGTATATAGTTAATTTTATTATAAATAATTCAGAGTTGATAATTCAGAAGTGGGGAAAGGTATATAGCACTATTTAATCTAGTTGTATTAATGACATTAAGCTGATGACAAATGTAAGGATCTGCATTTGCGTAAGCTGACCCTGGAGGAAAAAACTTGGTGATTTAATAAACAAAAGCTAGTTTTAATCGAACATATCCAGGAAAAATAAAAGGGCTGAGTGTGGCCTATTTTATGTGACCTTTAAAAACTGTTATTTTCTAGATGCAGTCAATCTGACATTAGGTTTTATAATAGAAGT